AAAAAAAAAAAAAAAAAAAAAAAAAAAAAAAAGAACTGAAGGGGAGATATTTAGAGTCACTAAGAAGAAATTTGGTACTTTTTTTTAGTTTATAAGCTCAGAATTTCCACTGTACATACAATTACAGGCAAGAATTTTGATGATGAGTGCAGTAATAGGTTTTTGGCACTTTAACGCTTTTCATACCAACAATTCATCACAACAGTTAGAATTTTTCCCAACGAAAAAGTCAAAAAAAAAAAAGTAGAAGAAAAACAATGCTAACAAAATTTGAACTAAAGAAGAGAAAGAAAAATGAAACTATTAATCTGTGTTTAAGCTGCAAGACCGATCGCTATAAACTTTACTGAATAATATATTGGCAATTAAAGGAAAGAAGGTTTAGATGCCGCAACCGATAAGATCAGAAGTGATCGTATAGCAGTAAAGAAATGCAGCACCATTAAGCAGATAAACAACAACGAATATTATTTTAGCAAAAATATATCATTAACAATTAACAACTTCTACGAACTGTTCATTGTCTACCAAATTTGGATCATTTTAGCGACAAAAACAGACAACCAAATAAGGACTAGAAGTTATTCATATTGCAAAATAAAAAGTAAAATTATTGCTTTGAACAAACTATAGACTTTTAAATTAGCCGTTTATGAGGGATCACAGGAAAGACCATAGAAATATGCTGACGTACTATCGTATCCAAGAATATTTGATGTTCGATAGTCTATTAATGCATCTCTAAAAAAACGAAAAATTATGATTTAAGGTTATAGAGCTCAACTTGAAAAAATGAATGTTTGTTATTACTGTTATTATTGAAAACGAGGAAAAAAGTGAAAAATTTAAAGACTGTTTATTGTTTATAAACTTTAAACAACTGTACATTGAAGTAGGAAATTGGTTGAGAAAAAGAGCTTAAAAATTTGGATTTTTACCTGTACAGTTCGCAAAATTTGATTGATCCATTATTTTTGATCAAATTAATAGATCTGCATCCTTCATGATAACATCCAGCAAAACACTGTGCTGGGCTAAAAACAACGCTTTTAATAGTTTTCAACTAATAATCATTAAATAAAACTGTTAAGGTAAAAAAAAAATTTTGAAGTGCCAACCAATTTTTTGTTCTTTAACTGTATATATCATTAAAAGTGTGCAACAGATAAATCAGTTTTTGTAGAACTGTAACAATATAGCTATGTTATTGACAGTCTTTAAACAGTAAAAATTTAGATGCATAATATTTCAGTATTAATAAACATTTTGTGACTGTTATTTTTTTCATTAAATAGCCAAAAACTGGTTAGCTTATAAGCCTTGTTGAGTGTAGAAAAAAAAGTCATAGTGCATATTGTGGCTAATTAAAACTGTCTAAGGTATGTAGACAACAAGTTGTACCTGTTCACCAAAAATCGTTTTATCATTTTTGAGCCCTTGAAAAAGGTTTGATAGAGAACAGAATATGTGCATCGACCAACTGGACTGTACGTTGTTGTTGGTTCTGGGGTGGTTGTTGTTGTCGTTCCAGTCGTCGTTGTGGTCGTATTTTTGGATGTCTGATTTATTGCTTCTTTTTCTATTTCCGATTCAATTTTGGTAGCATTTTTTGTTTTATTTTTTTCTGTATCTGCAAAAAAAAAAAAAAAATTAGAAAGTATATAAATTTTTTGT